TGTTTTAGGTCAGTATTGCAATTTAAGTTGGCCAGTGTATAAAATAATGGTCTGTTGGTAGGTGTCATAGAAATAAAATGTAAACAAAAAAAGACATTTATTTTTTTAAGTCAACAGCTTTAGCAGAAGTGGTTAATTTTACTTCACTTCAAATTAACTGCAAAATTACCTCCACCACTGAGTTAATATGATTGATATGATGATTAAAAAACATTGACTTTTTTCACATCAAACAGCTAATGATCTCAACTCCATCTAAAAGTTGTAACTGGAATAAGGCAGTGCTTCTCATTTTAGTTTTAGTTTTCATATTTTTCATTTTTTATTTTTAGTTGTTATTCAGCATATTAGTCTTGTATTAAAAGGCCTATTTTATGCTATTTTCTGATCTATGTTATAATGTTGTATCCTCATCTTAAGCATATCTGGAGTTGTGTTTTGTTTCATTCACACTTGTTTCATTCACACAAACTCTGCATATTTAAGCTGTGTTCTTCTCTCAAAAAGGAACTCTATTCCATCCAGTGATGTCTTGCGGTAATACAGAAAGTGCTCCACTGTGTTTTTAAACTCCATACACAATCACTAGAATCATTTTGGATAATTTCAGCCCTGGAATTGCCAATCTCTACTGAACTTAAGGTAAAAGGTAGTCGTTAACTTGAAGACTCCAACTTCATGACATCACAAGGTGGAACTTGTGATGTCAACATTTTGAGCTATGGAGATGTAGACAGACTAATAACAAAGGGTTAATCAAACCATGAACGAAACAAACACAACTCCAGGTATGTTTGTTAGGAGATAAGTGTCAATGTTGTTCAATATAGTACTTTAAACCACTAACACCACGAAGCCTGTATGACATATGAAAATAGTGTTATGCATTTATGTTCGGTTTTCCTCTTCCTTATCACTCTCTCTGTCTCTAATCAGAGCTAGAGAAGAGGAAGCAGGCCCCACACTGATTGCCTGAGGGCCCGCACCGGCACAGTGGTCCACTGATAAATCTGGGGCCAGCAAAGGGCTCAGTTGGTCCCCAGAGAGAGAATGTCATGGCAGAGCTGGGGCCAAAGGACTTCAGTGTGAAGATTACTCACAAGTGTATTCATTTGCCTCGTGGAGCAAAAGAAAAAAAAACAAATAATCACAATCTGTACTGGAATCATTTAAAACCAGCTTCTATTGGGTACCTATGGGAGCGTGCTAGTGTAGTGTTATTTCACCCATGTCTGCCATTGCATTCACGGGCCACAAATTGCCTGGCAGCAGCCTCTCTGGTCCTTTTACGCTGGCAGTATACAGCAGCCATTTCCAGCCTCCCCATCTACTCAGAGTGGCAGTAATGATAGTTGAGGCATATACCCATGTGGCAGGAATCACACCACTACAGTTCCACAATATGACCATGAACTGGCATTGTTGTAGTGAGGTATAGGCCAGTTTGTCATTTTGATCCAAACATTATATCAAATGAAATAAAATGTATTACAGGGCCATCCATGACATTTTATTTTACATGTAGTTAACTGTGCTCATTTGAATCAGAAAGAGTTGTATTTTCTTTTAGTTTTAGTTTAAGAAAGAAAAGTGAACACAAGTTGAGTGTCATAAAGGTTCGTGTACGAGCCATTGTCAGTGCTGTTTTTTTGTGTAAGACGTTTTGAATCTTATTAATCTTTATGTAACCAGGAACGTTCCGCTGATAATAAGAATCTTTTTCAGCGGAGTCCTGTCTCCAGAGGGGACCCTATTGTACATGTGGTAGTGATAGGCTAAACCTATGCAGGACATGGGGAGAACATGCAAACTCCACACACAAAGGCCCCAGAATCAAACCCAGAATACACATAGACACGTCCATAATGCATTCACAATATAGATTATCCAAAAAAATGTATATTATTTGAACCAACTGTAATTCAAGTCAGAGCCACTAACAGTGTTTATTTCAACGTAGACTTGGTTCTCTAATGAAAATGAGGTAGCTTTAAACACCAAGGGTTATGTTTTGTATTCTGGTGTTTAGACAGTAGAAGTTCAAAATGCAATAACGTCGAGCTAGGCTTGAGACTGGCACGAAGCATACACTGTAAGGCTTGTGGTACTTTGGAGTAAGTGTGCAGGTGTTGTCTTTGGAGTGACTCAATTCTTAGTATTGCTATGACAACAACAGAATGATTAGTGAGTTGACAAAAAAATATTGAGTAATGTTGTGAATATCATAAGGCTGTAACAGAATAGTTTTTGTATTATTTTCAGCGGGCGGGCGATAGTCATTTGGATGGACATCTGTACCTGCATGTGTCAACAGAAAGTGCACAGCTGGTGTGAAAGAAAAGCTTGTGTGATACATTTTGGGTCAATTGGTAATAGGCTGTGACTGACTTTGCCAGACATGTTGCTAGTATTAAGAGCCATTAGTGGCAGTCGTGTCTCTGGTGACTCTTTGCTGCACCTGCTCTCTGTGTTTAACATTCATGAATAGTTTAAACAGCCAGCATCTGGCCCCAGGGCTCACACTCTTGTATATAAATGAGAGCTGCAAACTGGGCATTTAGCGTTGTGTAGAGATAGAGGGGCAAAAGAGTGACATGTTCTGTAGTTGAAATGTTTTGGTCTTTTTCATGCAAGAGGTCCTTGTGACAAACCTCTTTGTGCAAATATTTGATCTGTGTTATAATATTGTATCCTCATCACACACCTGGAGTTGTGTTTAGTTTCATTCACACATGTTTAACACACAAATCCTGCATATTTAGGTTGAGTTCTTGTCTCAAACAGAAAACATTCTCATCCACCTTGTGTTGTCATCAAGTATTAATGCAGGAAGAGCTCCACTGTGTTTTTAAGATCCATACAACTTCACTAGAATCATTTGGATAATTTTAGCCAATTATACTGAACAAAAAGTAAAAGCTACATGACATCACAAAGTGGAACAGCATTTTGAGCTTTGGAGATGGGAGACATCTTAATAATGAAGAATTACTCTAACATGTGTGAATGGAATGAAGCACAGCTCCGGGTATGTTTTTGATGAGGTAACAATATCCCAACATGTCAAAAACTCACAGGAGTCAATCTTGCATAATATAGGACCTTTAACACTATATCTTGCTAGTCCTTTCATTCCAGTTTATTTGTGTGGACATTTCTACTGTAAATTGGGCACTTTCACTTGATGGTCCTCCATTGGGAATTATGTTAATAAAACGTGAAATGCATTAAAGTGAGAAAGAAGTGTTAATCTGTGTGGCACTAGAAGACCCCTCCATGCCTTTCACACTAAAAGAGATGGGAGATTCGGGCTATATTCTTTTAAAGGGAGCCCTAATGGAACCGTTTGAAAAGTGCTCACAGCCTGGATCCATTAAACAGTTGCTAAAGTGCTGTGACTTGACTATAATGTTGCCTATCTTTCTGCGATCAACTCAAAAAGTACTCTGGTTTTTACAGTGAACATGTCATGGCTTCTGCTGAATCTTTAAAATGTTAAATGGTACTTATAAACATGATTTACATAAAGATATATGTAAAAATAGCTTGTAACTAAATTCTATTAAAGAATGGTAATGATTAGTAATGCAAATGATAACACTGTTGAATAACCATAACGTATATGCAAGGTTAAAAATGTGACCAGTGTATGGGGTAAGGTAGCTGTCCATTAAGTGCATGTGCATGCCAAATTCAAAAGTGTGCATATTTTCTGTATTCATGCATAAAATGTATTTTGTATGGTCTTTTATCAAGAGAATGCAAATCATAGCATTTCACATCCACAAATACAAAAATAAAAAAATATGCTTGAGTACTTGTGAATACAAATTTATTATTTTTCAGGTTTCTCTCTTGAGAATATGAATCACAGCTATGATCAAACTGTCAATATGACGTCACCTGTCACAGACATTAAGAGTCAAGGAGAGACTCATGGGTCAGACTGACTCTGGGTTTTGATTTGAATGACTACCATAATATCTATTAAAGTTATAAGTAACAGTAGTGCATGTATATATTTTCGGATCAGTAGTATTTTGAAAGATGCTTGCTTCAGTCAGAGGTCTATTGGAACAATGGAACAATAATGCTATTTGTTGTGGTCCACTGCATTGACAAATGGAATAAAAGGGTTCAGCATTAGGTTTGCAGTGATGTCATCTGTCATGAAATATATATTATCTTCCATTAGGATTTAATGTCTGAACTAAAAAGACATTGGCTTAAAACTAGTAGCAAGAAAATACCCAAAGATTTCAAAAAACAACAAAATAAATCAAAATCACATACTGTGACTGGAGTAGTCCTTATAGATGTAAGAATAAAGATGCCACAAAAATAAGTGCTTAACCCACTGCTCCATTAATATTGGAAGTCTGTTCTATTTTATTTTAAAAGCATATGGCAAGTTTTCATGCATTTCTAAATTTTTACTTGGTTTGGTGGGATAGTGCCCATGGTAAATATCATAGTCACAAAACTTAAAAGAAGAAAAGCTGAATTCTGAAACAGAATCCCTTGACTTGTATCATCAACACCAAAAATGTTATCCATAATGCATCAATAATTTATGTTCCTGATACTCAGACAAAGGATGATATATTGTGATTTATCAATAATCATGTATAATATTAAGGTCAAGTATACCTTCTCGAGAAACTAAATTTAATGAAATATGCTTTGTTTTAATTTTTAAATCATGGATTTTTCATGAAAGCCCATTACCTTAAAAATCGATTCAGACACATTTTGAATCGATACAAGAATGACACAGCGAAGTATCATGATATATTACTGAATCGATTTTTTTCTTACATCTCTAACTAAATACTAAATGCTAACTAAATACTGTATGTTAACTGTATTTTTGAGAAATTAGTAAAACCTAAAACCTGTCATATGCACTTCAAGTATGCAATTAAAACAATAATACCCCTTCAGTTCAGTTGCAGTTCAGCTCTAATAACATCCTTTCTATTTGTTTGTTTGTGTTGCAGTGGGTCCGGGTGCTGTCAGATTTCCAGCACCGTGGTACAGTGTGGAGCTTTGTGCAAGAGGAGCACAGTCCAACCTTGCACCTTGGGGACTACAACCTGGATGGCTTCCCTGACGCCCTGGTGATCATGCGCAACACCACTGGAAGGTAGCACACACACGCTCTCTCATCTAAAGCTCTTTATCTCCTGGCTTCCCAAACTGGACCCATTTCTCACTTTTGATTTATCGCTCTGAAAAACAAAACACACATACAGTAGGTCCTGCTTCCATCCTCATCTGTCATTTTTATGGGACTTTATATTTGATAAAGTCTCATAAATGAATGAGATATTGGAGAAATTACTGGGCTAATCCTTATTTGGCAGAAATAGTCTTTGGATTCTTGTCAAGCAGGCCCCCAATTCTCAGTGCTCTAACTAATCAATTCAGTCCAACGGCTCACTTCTCGAGTTCAGAGGCACAGTGCTGCTGCTGCCTCCAGCGCTTTAACTGGGTTTATGGGTTCATACAAACAACATTTTCAGGAAAAAATATACTCCTACACAACTGTAACACATGGATTTATCAAACTCGTGAGGAAAACACTGCCTCTACAACTGGCTCTTGTACCTGGACCAATAATACTACTGCTATTATGTACATTATATATGCCTTATGACTGCATCTAATGCTTCTGCTACTAGCAGTATTATTCTGATATAAATAAATACTGTAAAACATATTCCAAACCACAATTCAGTGAAAGTATATTTTGCAGTGATAAGCTCTACACTACCTCTACTTGGCAAAAGAAAAATTCAAATCTATCAACTGGACGAAGGTTTTTACAGTGTAGATGCTCATCATATCATACCTAAATGCGTGAAGATTACATCGTTACTTCTATTACTACAGCTATTACTACTGTAAAGAGCATGTCCTGAGAACTTCATAAAAATGTGTATTTTCAAAAATACATAGAACGTTTTTTTAAGTACTACATTTCTGACTTGCCACCTCTGCTGCCAACTTAATATGAAGAATGTTTCTTTAAAGACATGCTTTTGAATGTAAATTCCCGTCATTTCTTTATTAGGATCACCATTAGCTGTATCCAAGGGCAAGCGCATTATCCTGGGGTTCTTTTATCATATCGACACCGTGTTCCATATTTTCAAAATGTTACAAATACCAAAGAGAGGATTTGGTTGAATTTTCCTATACTGAGTAAAAATAAAAGCAAGATTTATAAATGTTTCTAAGATGTTGGTCTAGTTGTGTAACATTGTTGTTTGTGAGGATTATGCACAATGCTATTTGTCCTTTGAGCAGAAAAAGCAATCAGATTGATTTGACCCTAATAGCTTATGTTGGTGTGAATGGCTTATGTGAATAAAGCTACAGCCTTTCTCCTTTAAAGATGCCACATGGGGATACATTCATTAAGTTGCCATGAATATACCAACATGTTTGCACGCTATAAAAACAAGTCTCCATTACAGTCCATAATCTGTTTCCCATGGACACTTGCTCATGTTGTAAACCAAAACCAATTTCCTCTCAATGAATAGCCAGCTCCAACACTAGTAGAACCTTGCCGTATTTTCAATAGCTCATTTACTCTAGCATTTAATTTAAAACCTTTTCTATTTATTAACCCAGATATCATCTTTTATAGCTACATACATAAAATAAATTACCAAGCAGGTTACTAGTGCATGTCCAGCGAGGAGACAGCAAAGGTGAGTGTTGTTTTTTTTTTTTTAAGCCTACAGAGATAGCTCAAGATAAGGCCGTCCGTTAGCATCTCCACACTATTACTGCGGACACACCGGCTGGGGACGTGAATGTGTTTGTTAAAGAACCAATGTGGATTATCTGTCCTCAGAGATAGAGATAAGATGGGAGAAGATTGCACTGATTGTCTATGCATACTGATGGGAGAGGCGCCATCTTGTGTTGCCAGTTCTATAGATGTTAGGTCAGACGCGGGGACTTTTTTTTTTTTTGAAGCATTCTTGCATAGGTTGCTGGGTTGGTAAGTTACGGTCAAACGGTCATCCTCATTTGACGTCTGACCAGCTTTAAGTTGCGTGTGCTATATTCATTTTCTCTTTATTTGTAAGCCCGAGTTATTTTAATCCATGGCCGGATCGAGAAGGTCATACAATCTGATCCTAGAAGAGACATGCAGCGGGCCTTTCTTCAGAGAATAGATGGTAAGACGTGAGATAGACAGAGGCTAAAAGATGAAAGAAGGCTGTGTAATGAAATGGAGGGATGCTTTAAAGGTTACTAAAATGGTCAAATAGGTGAATCTGCTGCTTGCATTTTAGCCATGTGCTATATTTCATTCAAGGTGCAGAGCACAGCAGCCAACTCTCAATAACCACTCTCACAATGCATGATTTATTTTATTTAATTAATTTATTCATGTGTTTACTTTATTAACATCACATCATAAAGAACATTACATGATAAATATAAGCCTTCCATTATGAGTTACTTACTTACTTAAGTTAAAAGGTGCGGTATCTAATTTTTACTGTCTTAAAAACAGGAAAAACAGAACTAGTTATTGCTCACTTACCTTATGCATTCCTATCTTCCAAATAATTCACCACAATTAGTTTATGAGCGCTTGTCACAACTTTCAAAAAATGTAACAACTTACATGCTAACCGTGCACTTCCTGATACTCAGACAGCAAAACACAGTTTTAAATCTATGCTTTAAGCTCCTCTGACAATATATCTGTACTTGGACAAGACATATTTTGCTCAAATACATTGGTACAGGGCCAAGTACTGGACTTGGTAGACATCTTTTAGTAAAAGTTGCATTGCAAATTAATTAAAGAAATATATCTGAAAAAAACATAACTTCGTACTTTGTGGTCAGTCAGGAAAAGAAAGCGCCATCTGTCATGACACTCCCTTGCACCACTGTTGCCCTATCCATTATTTACCCAATGAAGAACATTAGAGAAAGCACATTAGGAGAGTCAGTGAACTTAAGTAGCTACAATAGAAGTCACCTAAAGTGCATATTTGACATTTCTTTCTTCATGAAACAGACAAGTAATGCGCTTGTGTCAGGCTGAGTTTGTAGCGTTTAGTCAGAGAGCCTTTATTTAATGCATCTTGTTGACTTAGCTGCTTTGGATTCTGCAGCTCCGTGCAGTCTCTCCTGCACCTTGAGTCTTTGATTTTCTCTCGAACCAAATGGCTTCTGCTAAACAAATGTTAGCACGACCCACATCTAAGCTATTTCAACTGCTACACTTTTGTTCCTTACTATCCTCTTCATCTTTAGGAATGCTTATTTATAGCTGCTTTTAGTGCTCTCCTTTTTGCCCCAATCAGCCTCAAACTCCAAAGACACATGGACAAAGAATCATATTTATTGAGTGGAATCAATGCACAGGCACAAGTGGGCAAAAAAAATGGAGAAAAGGGAAAAGATGCCTTGTAAAGCTTGTACATCTCTTCTGATTGCCCTACTTCCCTACTCCTTATGAGTCCTCATCACAGCTCAGAATAGCACACAGCTGCACCACGCAGCTGTATTTCTGTCACCTCCTCTTCCTTTTACTACCTCAGTCACAGGAGCTGGACTTTTTGAATTCAAATTTACACAGCATATGTCACACAGCTGCTAAGAATAGTAAAGTTTTTATTCATGTTAAACCCACTCACCAATGTTCAGAATGTATGTGCATTTTTACATTCTCATTATGATGCAAAAAAATTATGGTTAAAATGTGACAGTGGAAAGTAGACATGAGTTTACCTTAACTTTTAAATTAATATTCTTTAAAAAGTGCCTTTATTGTGACCTTTTTTTACCTCATGGGACTGAACTTGGATCCAGTATCAAGCTATTGCCTTACTATCAATTGCCAATTCCAGCAATACTACTGCCGATCTTGACGATTGATTGCTACTATGACTCTATATGCTACGTCTACTACTTATATCTGTACGTGTTTTAGAATGGCAACAACAAAAAATCAGACTTTGAGATCTGTAAATAAGACAGATCCTAACTACAAAGTGTCACTCCATCAAACTACATAATGTTATACTGATGTAGGTGTGCCAGTGTAGTGTACCGAGTTTGAAATCTCCTGTGATTCTTTTCCCTCCTCTTTACACAGAGTAAAGAGGAGGGAAAAGAAGCAGCAGCAATGTCCAAAGATCTTTATTGCATTCATTACTGTATCTACTAAGAGTTGCCATAAAATTTTATGCTCATTTATTTACTCTATGAATGCACCCAAGCAGAGGCAAAATAAGCAATCGTTGGTCAAAGCTCCTTAATGCTCTTTTAATTATATATGCATTAAAATTAGTCTCTGTTTAAAGGTGCATTGTGGAGCTTTTCTTGTGGAGGGTTCATCACATGCTTTTTTCCATGGAGATGTTATTGCTTTGTCTGGAATGTTTCACAGTATGGCATCAAACCCATTAAACATTATGTCTTTTTGGAGACCAACTAGACAAAGTTGCAGGTCAGATCTATGGATTGGCGACCCCGCTCACAGTTACAATGTATGTTTTATGTGTATTTTTGACCAATAAAACCATTTCTAATTGAATAAATGTAAGGTATATCTGTTTAATGTCATATTGTGAAACATTCCAAGCAGAGCAATGACATTTCCATAGAAACAAGAAGACCGAAAAGTTAGAGTGCACCTTTAAGCTAACAGTTTTTCTGCAGGTAAAGCATTTAGTTATATTTTCCAACCACAATGAAAGCATGCAGCAGTAAATTAATTAAGATGGTTATCAACTGAATGGGGTTTTTAGGGAACTGTAATTGAAGTCTGGGAAAATCAAAGGAGGTAATTAGCAGCTGTTTGTAATTCATTGTTTTCAAAGTATGATTTTTATTCCTTTATTTAAAGCATTATGTAACTTTTCTGGTTGTGGGTCCATCACTTGCTTGTTTCTATGGTTATGGTAAATGGTTATCATTCTATATTATATAATATGTCATTTCTCAACAGTATGACATTAAACAGCTCAACCATACTTTTATTAAATTACAGGTGGCTTTGCTGCTCAAAAATACCTAGAAAAACATACATTCTGATTGTGAGGAGGGTACCCTCTCCATATATCTGACATGTAACTTGGTCTGGTTTGGTCTCCATGAACA